AAAAAAAAAAAAAAAAAAAGACTAAAAAAGCTATTACTTATTTGACTGCACAGTTCTTCCCTACCACCACCATCCTCTTCCTGCTGTTTCTTCCTCTCAACGAACTGAGGAGCAAAGGTTTGGATCAGTCACCTTTCAGCAGGCAATATAGCAGTACTGATTCAAATGTAAAATGTAAATCCACTTTGATCTGGAAAGCTCACTTCTAGGAGTATCTTCCATGGATGTTCACAGAAGTATGCAAACGTAAACATAGAGGGCTGTTCAGAGTAGCACTGAAACCCAAACTAGGAACCAATTCAAAAAACCAGAGAACCCTCCCAGTAGAATAGGATTCACATGTCACAGAGGATATCTGTTCTGACGTGGAAAAATGTTCAAGAGCTGCTTAAGTATTTCCAGTCTGTACTTCGTTAAGTGAAAGAAACGTATACTGCACACAGTAGTGTCATAGCATTTTGCTAGTACTTTTATTACATTTTCTTCATTTCTCGCTTAGTTGGCTGAAGTTCGTCCTCTACTGGTTTATTCAAGAAGGGTTCATGGAGCTGTATTCCCAAAGTTTTTATGAAACTATTTGTGGTTTTATACATGAATAACAGCGGAGTGCAGAATTCTTGGGTCTCTCTTTCTTTTTCTGAGGACATTTTAATCATGACTTTGTTTCACTGTTGGTATTGTGCCTCTTTGCTAAATGGTCCCCTTCCATTTGTTTCAACCAGGAGAGTATTAGTCCTACTTTTTTGCTTGATTCATTTCCACAGATCTGCTGTGAGTAGCCCAGGCTTGTTTCTCCTCATCTGGATTTCTGAAGAGAATTTCAGGTTTTCTTGTAGAGGATTTTAGCTTCCTGTCTGAAGTGAAGACATAGTGAGAACAAGTTTTGGTGAGCACATACAGGCTGAGCACTCCAATTCTCTGTCTCCCCACCAGGTTACCAACATCAAGAAGACACTCAAAGCCACCGCATCCTCCTCGGCTCAGGAGATGGAGCAGCAGCTGGCTGAACGGGAGTGTCCGCCTCACGCTGAGCAGAGGCAGCCCACCAAGAAGATGTCCAAAGTGAAAGGTCTGGTCTCCAGCCGCCACTAGGGCCGGCTGGGGCAGCTGGCACTCACCAGGCCTGGGTCAGGTGGGGAGGGGACACCAAGGGCCCATTTCCTCCCCTCTCTACCTACAGTGAGTTCCAGACCTGCCCGTCCCCTCACCAGCGCCTCCCCACCCTGTGGTACTGTTCCAGAAAAACTGTTAACTCCCCCTCACCCACTCCCTCCTTCCCCAGTTGTTCCCTTCAGACTCAGGGGCTCCACCGATGCCATCCCAACAGGGTCAGACACTGCCCAGCTTCCCTCCAGGAGGTTCTTGTCTCTGTGTAAGGGCTTGTGTCCCTCCCAGTTTTTCTTTTGCTCCATGTCATTTTGTCAGGCTGGTTATAAGCCGGAGGCAGCTTTAACCAGCCCCCAGGGATGATTGTGAAGGAGGCCCCTCCCCTTGTGAGGAGGGGGCGCTCCTCTTCAGCCCCTCGTACCACAGTCCTCACGATGGTGCAGCGATCTCTAGCCAGGCGTCAAGATGCGCTGCTTTCCCTCTCTTGCCTCATCCCTTGTTGGCAGCTCCAGTTCAGGCCGTGGAGGGACGTGATGCTGGGCTATGTTTACTAAACCCACGGGTTTTCAGCCTCTTAAGCCCAGCTCCGATCTCCAATTAGTTGGGAGCGCTGGGTTGACTAACCTCTGGTATCTGAGCACAGACAGAGGGTGCTGTGGGTCTGCTGGGTGGCAGAAATGGTTCCTTCCAGCGTGGCGTTCTCTTCTGGCCGCTCCTCCTGCTGCCTCTGACTACTCAGCCTTGTTTTCGGTGTGTAGGCCCCAGCTGCCCACTGGAACTGCCGGCTAATGCTTGCTCTCCCGAGATCTTTAACTCCTCCTGGCTGCACCTGGGTAGGGATGGTGGCACCGATGCCCCTCTGTCTGCTGAAGGACCTGTTGCTGCTTCTGTCTTTTCACCCCTCCTTGGCTGATGACCCAGAGTCCTCTGATGATGGCATTCTCCTGGCAAGAGAAAAGGACTTAACTAGACTTCTGAACTTGAACAGTTTCAGGTTATATTTTAATTTTTTTTTTTGTACAGGTTCCGATTCTAATACATTTCAACATGGTTTTGTCCCTCCTCGTGTCAATATTTGTTATAGACTAATCGCCGGGGATTTTTCACATGGTTGGAGGGTGGTGCGTGCGCGCGCGCGCGCGCGTGTGTGTGTGTGTGTGTGTGTGTGTGTGTGTATGTGTAAGGGGAGGTGGAGATCCTGGACTGATATTAAAGTTCATTGAGGAAAAAGCACATTTTACAACAAACAAAGTGTAGATTTAATGTATGTGACTGGGGTTTGGGGTGCATAAGATCTTGAAGGGCTGGGATTAGGGTGGTTCAGGAAAAAGTGATACTGTTTCCCCGTGTTTAGCCATGGTCAAACAATGGATTTCTCCTTTTTCTAAAATGTCCAGCAACTGCCTACTGTTGATCAAATGTTGAAGTATTCTTGTTTCCTTTTTAAGCCAATCCATGTGCCCATATAACATTATGCCCAAGTGGAGAGTTCACTTTAATTTCCAAAATATGTTTCATGAAACCCCCTGTCAGATACTCTGTGGAAAAGGGGTTCTGTTATGAAATAAATGTGGCACTTCCTGCGTCCCATGTCTTCATTGGAAATTCATTACTCAGGTGTCCAAGCATTCCTTGGTGAGGAAGCCTGTACCCATACCGATTTCACCACCAAATCCTTTTGGGTGATATCTAGGTGGAACAAATCTTAGGAAAATTTTGGGGAAAGTATATTTCCTAAAAAGCCTAAGAGCACTGGGCGCAGTGACTCATGCCCATAATCCCAGCACTTTGGGAGGCTGAGGTGGGAGGATCGTTTGAGCCCAAGAATTTGTGGCCAGCCCACACAACATAGTGAGATCCCGTCTCTGCTACAGATAAAAACCCTAAGAGAAAGATAAAAACCCTAAGAGAAGCGAAACACCTTTCAACCTTACAGGTTTTCCCAGCTATTCTTTCTAGACTTCAAACAGGCACAGTCACTCTCAGCAAGTTTTCTTTCATCCTTGTTTTTCCCACTGGCAAGTAGACTAGGAGACATGGTTTGACTTGTATGAAGTCTGTGGCCATTCCTTATGTGATTGCCCCAAGGCCCTAAGGGTCCTCTCCATGATTCAGCTTCCTTAAAAATAATGATGGCAACAATAGTAACTTGTCTCTAAAGTGCTTTACAAAGTGTGTTTGCATACAATAAGTCATTCAGTCCCTTCCACCCAAACAGTCTTCTAAGGTGGGTAAGGGCAACCATCCTCGCTTTGCATATGAGAAGACAGTCCCAAAGATTTGAAGTGTCCCGGTGGTAAGTGGCAAAATGAGAACTCTTAGATCTCATGACTTGCACATCCTGTCATCTGCTCTGTTACATTCTCATCTACAGTCTGCTATCCACACTTGACCCTTGCTACCCCTCTACCTGCTGCTGTTCCTCTGAGAGTTCATCTTGCGCTTATTTTGAGGCAGGGAGGGGCAAGACCAGTGTTAGTGTTGATTTTGTTCTCAAGGACCCTGGCAGGGAAGCAGCAGTGTTCCCATTGTAGAGGCCAGAAAAGCTGCACAGTGACACAGCCAGGATCAGTCATGGAGCCGTGACAGGCCAGAGCCGGGGCTCCCAGCCACTAAGGAGGGGTGGCAGAGGGTTGTTTGGCCAGGTCTGGGTGGTCTGAAGGCTTGGTGACCAGGGACAACATAATCACATGCAGGACCAATGCCATCACTGCCCTGAGAATGTTCTTCCCCCAAAAGTCTGCCTCCAATAGCACAGGCACCTGCTTCTCGGATGGTGGTGACATCTGAGTACTTGGACTTCATCAGCTGCCCCTAGGAGGTGAGGTAGCAGTAGGTGAGGACAATACCCCTTTCAGCTTCAGCAGGTGAAAAGTGTGGTTCTCGATGAAGTTGAGCTGGTGTGTGTGCCAGGTCTCCTTCTACAGTGGGTACACGTCATACAGGATCCCATCAAAGCGACCACCTAGCAGGGTGAGTGCCACCTCCTTCCACAGGACTTTCAAGGGGATGACCATGTGTGTCTGCTGCTGGGCCCAGTCTTGGAGCCACTGGAAGATGCTGTCATTGTACTCCATGATCCAGTGTTCCTGGTTGGAGACCTCCTGCACCTTCCATGTTCTTATGGCCATGCCGAAGCCAACATCTAGGACTCGGCCCCCTTTGGAGGTGGTGAAGGCAGTGATGGAGGTTGTAGTGGGGGCACTCTTGCTGCAGATAGAGCCCCAGCTTGGAACCTGACGTGCCAGGGCCCAGTCCCTGCAGCCATCTCGCTTTTCACACACCTCATTTCTACTTGCCAAACCTACCCAGCCACTTAATAAGGAAGCAGAGAGTATAGGATAGAGACCTCCAGAAATTGTGGGAATAGTGGCCCAGCCAGATGTTCATTGCTCCGCTGGGACTCTGGTGGGAGGCTTGGCCTTCAAGCTCTGCAGTTTCCTGTCTGGCATCCTGGCAGCTGGGCTCAGGTCTAAAATGTGCAGAAGTGTTTTATGCATAACTAGAACATTCCAAAGAGATGTCCTCATCAACAGTGAGACATCTTAGGGAAGGAGACACCACAGTATTAAAGAGAATTACCTTGATGGCAGTGCCTGTGGGCTTGCTTGAGCCACATTCTTTACCTCTGAGCTTTCTGCCTCCTCAAACCCTTTTTGCTCTTTCTGTTCAGATGAGAGGCGTTATGGTTCCTATTTGGGTAACATTAGGGAGGTGGTCAAAGCCCCCAGGACAGCCCGTTCCTGTGGTCCTAATCCAAGATGGTCATCACTGATAGTAAGATTCTCTTCTCCCCACTTCAGTCACAGGAAATGGGGTGGCGACCAAACAAGCTCAAGTGATAAACTGCTGGTGATATGTGTACATGTTTGTTGTTTTCTCCACCTCTGAGGTGCTGGGTTGCCTGAAACCAAAGTGTTTTGGTTTGTGTACTAAAGTTGTTTTTCTGGCAGACTGAGACTTCACTTTTTTAAAAATGTGGCAATTGGTTGACTTCTGGTGGTCCCGAAGGACCTATCACGCTACCCGTGGTATCTGTTTCAAGTCTAGCATGGCTTGAGTAGTCTGTGATTGTACCTGTTTCTTCCTGGATTCTGCACATAGCCAGGAGCATCTCACTGCTTCATTCCATGTTTCTTGCAGTTATGCTTGGGATATGCAGATGGAAATGCATATTTTATTGTAAATTTCATTTTATATCTAGCTTATATTACCCTTAGAGCATTCAGTGGGTCTTTTAAACTTATGTCTGTTAAGTAGATTGTCTGTGACTTGTCGGGCAGTAAAGGTAGATGCTAAGCAAGTATTTATTATCAAAAGGAAGTGTTGAGTCAGTATTAAGGGTGAGAACTGCTCTTCGTGGTTAAGGATGAAACCAACAAGGAAAGAAGTGATGGGAATGCAGAGACAGGCGGCAGCCCAGCTCTTCTTGGGGTTGTTTATGCCATTCTTGCTTTGGTCTGCGACTTTTCCTCAGCAGACACTGCTGTGGGCTGCTCTAATGACTTCTCTTTCCTCCTCGAACAACTTCTGGAGAAGTTTCACAGCTGCGGAGTGGTGCCGCTACACATTCATCATCTAACCTGACCTGGGTCCTCAGCTGTAGGGCCATCTGTCTCGAGTCAGCTGTCACTGTTAAAAGTTTCATCATTTTCTCTGGTTTGACTTGCTGAAAAAAAAACCAAAACGTAACAAAAACATTTAAAAAGTTTCACTATTTTCTTAAAATAGTTTGCCGTATCATATCCTCTCATGTTCACTGGATGACTATCCTTTCTTCCTGGTGAAAGCAGAAACCCTCAGTTTGTCATCTTCCACCTACAGACTCATCTGCATCTGTCCTTACCTCCTTGGGGAGAAAAAGACGTCTCTCCTTCCATGTGAGTATCTGTCATTCCCCTGTGCCATTTCGTTTTCTGTTTTTCAGTCTACCCTTTTCTCCCCAAAGTCTGCCTTTTCTCCCCAAAGTTTTCACTTATGTGTCTTTAGCCTCTCCTCTAATGGATGTAGGTGATGAATAATTTCACACTTAAAGGGACCCTCCCTGAACCTCATGTCCCTTTCCAGCCACTGCCTTTTTCATCTTTAATGACCATGCTTCTTGAGAATTGTCTACCCTTTCTGTCCCTCTCTTCTCCTTCACTGACATGTGACGTCTACTGCTACCCAGCCGCTAATCATTTTCTTGTCAAGGGGACCATTAATCTCCAACTTGCTATCCTTAGTTTTTATCTGGCTTGATCTTTGTGTTACACTTGGCACTGTTGGGCCCACTTCTTTAAGTGTTCTCTTAGTTTTCATGGCTCCAGTCTCTCCGGATTTTCCTGTCTTCCTTGGCCTATTTTAAAATTTCTTCAGGGGCATCTCTTCCTTTGGAGTCAGAGGTGTTTCTACGGTTCCGTTGTGACCTTCTCATTTTACTTTTATACATCTCCAGAAGTTATATGATTCACTGCCATGGTTTCACTTTCATTTATAATGCCCAAATCTCTACCTCTGGCTTATTCTGCCAACATGAATAGTCAGCAGCCACCTGGACATTTCTGCCTGCCATCTCCCAGGTCCACTCCTGTAGTCAGTAATCGGTGCCCACCATTCACCAAGTATATTAGTTTGCTAAGTCTACCATAACAAGATGCCACAGACTAGGCCAAAGCAACAGAAATTTCTTTTCTCACAGTTCTAGAGGCTTGAAGTCTAAGATCACAGTGTCAGGAGGTTTGATTTCTCCTGAGGCCTCTCTCCTTGGCTCA